CCCTAAACCCTAAACCCTAATGATGGAGTTCCAGGTGAGTGAGTACTACATGAGTTGGCAAGATCCACACCTGAGAGGGTTTCTGTTTTGGTCTTTGACAGTGCACGCTCGTGGAGCGAGCTCTTGGACCCTCTGCGGAGAGAAAGGGCNNGGGCTACTGCATTAAAAAAAAAAACCCTAAAGTCTAAACCCCAAACCCTAAAGTCTAAACCCTAAACCCCGAAAACCCTAAACCCCTAAAGGCCTCTCTGCAAAAGTCCGTGGAATCGGCGGCCGCACGGGTGCAGGCCGCGCCTGGGAGTTTGGACTTTGGCGGGCTTCGAGTTTGCAAGCATTGGGAGCGTGGAACAAGGAAACTTCGAGTGTTGTGTCTGTTGAGTCTAGTGCGGGGCAGAGGAGGTTTGAGGTTGTACTTGCAGGCTTCGTGTTTAATATAGGGGCCTTAATAATCAGAATAGGGTTTTGGAGTGTATTACACTATAATTAGAATAATGAACCCCCAAAGCCGTATTCTGATTATTAAGGCCCCTATACTAGCTTTTCTACCATGGCAGAATAGGTGCTAGGACCACCAAATGCCTAGAAGCCAGTACAGTCAGAGCCTTTTCACCCGCTCACCTGCTTCAAAAGCGAGAACTCTCCTGGGCATGCAACCTTCCCGGTTGGAACGTATACCTAAAGTCTTAAGCCGAACTAGCTACATAGATAGTACACCTTAAATCATATAGATGTATGTGTATCTATGTCTATATCTATATCTACATCTATATCTATATCTATATCTAATGTGTATATATATATATGTATACATGTGTAAATAAATATAAATAAATAAATATATGTGTATATATATATGTACATATGCACGCACGCATTTTCCTTGTCGACCTCTTGTTGAAACCCTCCTCAACAGAGCAGGCTCTCAGTGAGGAGCTGGAGGCCTGCCAGGCGAGCTCGGGCTGCGGTGACACGTGCACGTCTCGGTAGATTCCTGTCGAACTGGAGGCAGGTTCTCAGTCTCAGCTTCAAGTAGATCTAGTATAAATGTTGTATGATATAGTAGAGCGTAATATAATGCAATATGATATATTGTAATCAGAAACAATCCATGTACAGTTTTGGGTCTTCTGTCTCTTCGCCGTTTAGGCGAAGGCGACCTGCAAGCACATGCCGCGTGTACTTCCATCAACGCAAGTACCGTCCAACTTACGATATTCACTGGTGCTTCTCGTACTCTCTTGATGCCCTTGAATTACTGCAAGGGCCTGAATAACTAGACTGGGGTTTTGGGGTAGACTACACTAGAACTATAAGAAGGAACCCCCCCCAAAATAGTGTAGGTAACTATTGCGGCCCCTCTATTACCTATTATACCATAACTACAGTAAGGAACCCCCAAAATACTGTAGGTAACTATTGTGGCCCTCTATTACCCCTTATACCATAACTATAATAAGGAACCCCCAAATAGTGTAGGTAACTATTGTGGCCCTCTATGACCAGCCCCCGGAAGCTGGCTCTCCAATCATAGCCTTGGCCGTACATTGCGTCACGCTGTGCACTACATCTGTTTAGGGTTTAGGGTTTAGGGTTTAGAAGCAGCCGAAATGCAGGCCGCGCAGGAGGAGACGGAGAAGAGACTGCGGGATACCAAGGCCGGTTCAGAGCTTTCAAGCCCTGATCCAGAAATTCTTCGGGTTCTCAAAATCTAGTAGGGTTTAGGGTTCAGGGTTTAGGGTTCAGGGTTTAGGGTTTGTGATCTAGTGGCTGCTGTGACTGACAGCTACGATCAGAGCCTTGGTGTCAACAGCTTCTGAAGCCTCTCCTTCTCTTTGCGTGGGGTGTCATGCCGTTCCCTCAGGTTTGACAGGCAGACTTCAGGATCATGCCGGGCAGGGTGTCATGTGGAAAAGCGGATCCCTCTCTTAATTCCGAAGCTGTACCATCTCCTGGGCCTTGGCGGCGTATTTAGCCGCCAAGCCCGAACCCGAAGCGCAGTCAAGCGTCCCCCCCAAAAAGTGGTCTGGACCAATGCCAGGACCGCGACGCAGACGTGAAGGCGACACTTTGTGCAGATTCGGTTAAGCCGGCCTGAAACCCCACATCCACAACCCTAGACCCTAAACCCTGAAGCTTAAGCTCCAAGCGGAAGGGTTGGCAGCGGGCCACCTGGGTCTCTAGAATAGTGAAGGACAGTCATGACCATGCCTGGAGTTTTCAGTTTTAAAGTAGTAATGGAAATAATATTATATTATATTATATTATATTATATTATATTATATTGTATTATATTGTATCATCTTATATTATGTTGTATTGTATTATATTATATTATATTATACTATATTATATTATATTATACTATATTATATTATATTATATTATATTATATTATATTATATTATATTATATTATATTTTATGCGAACAGACTTCGATGCCTCTTACAATTCTGAGGTACCACTTTGTGAGCTCTGAGACATGTATCATAAACAGGACGGAACAGGGCTGTTTTGCAGACTGTATCCAACACTAT